TGACGGCCCTGGGTGAGGCGCTGGGTGGCCGTCAGAGCTCTCCTCGCCTCTTCCCCTTCTGGCAGCGCCTCAGTCGGTGCAGGGCCACCACGTCCCGGTCACTTTCCCAGCGCTGATGGCCCCCCCAAAATGCAGAGGGGCCACCTGGCCGCCGCGGCCCCGTCACCCCTCTCCGCCGAGAGGGACCCGCTCCCCTTTTCTTGCGCCGCCATTTTGTGGCGCTCATCCGCAGCCCCTGTGGTATCCCGCACGATGGGTTTTGATAAAATTTGGTTTAATTTTATAATTTCATGAGTTTAGGAAAGAATCTGCAGCAATATCATTTCGTTTGGTGTGTGCCCGACTAAGTAAAATGCGGCAATCCAGTAGATATTTGACTTTCTGAGGACTTGACAGACGTGGGTACCTAGTAAGGAAGGCACGGTACAATGGTAGGCACGGTGGCAATGCGCTTTAAAACACAGGTGTTACAAACGGGGACTTTATAAACGAAGAGCCTTACAGTTACGTTAACTCAGATGTAATAACTAGAGTTGTCACCAGTCAGGAAAGGGCGTGGATGATGTTAGAAACACTGAAAACATCGGCGTGTTTCGAAAAAGATGGCATGTCCTCACTTTGAATGCAAGGTTCAAGCCTCCTCACAGGGTTCTTAAAACGGTGTTGCAGAAGAGGGGCAGAGGAACATAAACAGCACAATGAGGGACGCTTTTTTTTCTTCTATTTTTTTTTTTTTTTTAAACAGAGGTAAAAAGTTAGTCTAGAAATATGAACTCTACTAAATTTCAGGAATAATCAATTAACCAGTCATTTGAATAGCACAGGAGAAATATGGTGTCCTCTCAAAAGAGCCCTGCTGGAATGAATATTATTTCTAGAAAGCCAACAGAAATTAATACTGTTCCACAGTTGATAATGGGTAGGATTGGGCGTTCGATTTTAAGGAAGAAATTTAAGTCATAGATTATAGGTATTTTTAACTTTTTAATGAAGAACATAGAAATGGCCGTTGTCAGATGAGGTATGAAGCTACTGCTGTACTTCTGCTATGACAGGTGCCATTAATGTTAGCGTTATGTGGTTTCTGAACTCAATGCAATCTTGTAATACATGAATCTTTATTGCCGCAATTGAATTCCATATAATTACGTTAATGCGGTACAAAAATGCAAGATGCATAATAAGATTTTGCTTCTGTCAGTGTTCTGAATAGCACCATTAGAAATAATATATGAAGTTTTAAGTTGTTGTACCTGTTGCTGTGTATCACGTATTTCTCTTTTAACAAAAATAACAGTCCCATATGAGAACATCCTCTGAATTTGTTTTCCAAAATTGGCTAATGGTTCGATGCTACTTTTCTCCAGTAGGACCAAGAATCAGTCTTTACGACAGTCATATCCTGGAAGACATCAATTGTCCAACATTTAGATGTCTTTTGTTTCAGGCTGGTGTTAACTACTGTCTTTAAAATCTGTTACAAACATCCTATAGATTACCAGTTCAATTGACTCTCTCAGCTCTTTCTACTAGTGAGAGATATATCCTCGTAATTTGCATCACAGAATAGTGTTTGTTATTTGCAGCTATGTTACTTCATTTTAACACTATCTAGAATAGGAGGTATTTCACAGATGCAATCTTTCAGAAGTACCGCCATTTTCTGAAATTTTACCCTTTTCATAAATTGTACTGTAAAATTACAGAAAAAAAAAACCCACCCACATTCACTTTAGTTCTGTTTCTCTCTCCTACAAAAGCATTCAGAACCTAAAATTAATTGTAACTGTCTTAGTGACTAGATGATAAAAGAGCATGTATCTTAATAATGCACAGTTGTACAGTCTGCTCTATTGGGGATAGAAATTCTTCTCTATTTAATGTTTGTGCTTTTTATTTTGCATTCATCTATGTACCTTCTGTGTACACCTCAATGTTGTGCAGCTTTTTTGGGAACTGTCAGGGAAACAACTAACAAACATTCTTAAACTGTTTCTAGAGAATAAGTTTTTAATATATGATCCAAACTATTTTTTGCATCCAAAGGAATTACTTAGTATTTTGTTTTCACATCGTGTAAAAGCAAAAATATTCTGCATGGTCCCGTGTCTTGAGGTAGTATTTCTTAGTATCTTCAGAAAGTGTTTTGTTTGTTATATTAACTGTTTCCAGGCACCAGGAACCAGGGTTCCGAGCTTTTAAATACATTTAGTAAAACTATTATCTCTTTCTCAGAGTTTTCATCACAGCCTGTACTAATCCAGTCACTTGGATTAGGTGTTCTGATCCTCACTTAACGGTTAGACAAATTCATTTCTGTCAAACATCCAGCATTTTAAATGCTCCCCCCACCCCCTCCCGTTTCCACAGCCTCAGTGCTACAGTACATAGCCTTAATGCCACTTTAGTTCAATTCTGCAGTTGTTTTCTATTCCATTTTATCCCGGATTAGGATCTCATCCTCATCTCCAATTTGTTGTGGCTTTACTTCTTACACGGTACTAAGAGTACGGGGAAGCCATTGTGGGACATTTAAGCACCGGATAACTTTGCTTAATGTTAAGCATATCTGAGCTAACTAGCTGTATTCAGTACGTTCTGATAAAATAGTGATAGCATCCTTTTTAGAAGACTGCATAACTCTGAAACTGTTTAAAAACCTGTAACTGAATTCTGCATGTAGCAGCACTATACAAACAGAATAATGAATTTGTAATAATCTGTTTTCCATTGTATAAGAGTTCTGTCTTTAATCACACTTACGCATATATCTTCTGATCTAAATGTAATTTGCAATTACTATGTGAGGAGTGTACAGAATGGATAAGTAGCTTTTCCATTACCAGCATTGCAGCCGATAGGCTTAGTAAACCAGCTGGAGTAGAGGCTACACATTTTGTACACGAGCATCTTTCCTTGCATTCTTCATACCGTCTAAGAACAATAAGCCTCTCAAAGACAGAACTGCACCAGGGACAAAGCTTTACCTAAATGATATACCTCCTTTTTCCTAACTGTGGTTTAGAGTTTTCAGTGAGTCCATTACTGCTATCGGTTCCACTAAAGTGGTTTAGATACTAAATCAAATGCAGTGAAAACTTTTTATTTTCTCCCTTTTATTTTAACATGTATGGTATTGTCTTGCTATTTTGACTTGTATATTGCATCAGTAAAGCTTTTGACTGTGTAAATCATTGAATTGCATTTTTCTTTTGTAGCTTACACAATGAGTGACAGGCTTTTGAGTACCCTAGATGAACTTCTGCTCAAGTTTGGTAGGTCATTATATAATATTTTTAAACAATTGCTAATGCAGTACATATAGCGATGTTTTCTGCTTTAAACAGTTACGCTAACTTCAAATAAATTTATAATATTAAGGTTTTGATGTTTGCATACATAATGTTTTGTTAGCTGTGAGGTTAAGGAGAGGGGTGCTAACAGCTATATAATTAGTAAAACTGCTGTTTAGATATTTTGTTAAAATCTTTGTTAATTAGTGTGCAATTAATGCTGCACAACACACATTTGTTTCACAGCTCAACTCATATATATTTGTATATATATATATGAAAAAGTGTTAACCTTCTTCTTAGTTTTCCAGCTAGAACAAACTTCTTATGCTAAGGAACATGTGAAACAACAGATAAATCGTGAGTAGTGATAAATTATCAGTTTATTAGACATTGAACACACTGCTTTTGTTTCATTACTTCTGGTACATGTTCTGTGTTTCAGGGGCGGAAGCAAGCCTTATAATGCAAGCTGTCCCGTGTCCTACTCTCACCCTGCCTCCTCTTTTGCCATCAATACTTGTTCATTCTCCTTAGCAGACTTTGCTTTTCCTTGCGACTTTTAGATAACGCTGTTCAGCTGTCTCATGGACAGCCAGTTTCATGCCGCGCCATTTCCTGCTCTTACTCTGTAGCTCCTCACAGTCACTGGCAGTTCTTTGGTTCAGCTGTGCTTGCTCAATACATCTGCCACTTGCCTCCCTTTCTTCATGTTTTTTGTTCTTTCCAGATTTGGACCTCTGCCTCACTGCTTCTTCTCTCTTTCTGTTTTCTTAAAATAATGAAAGTTCTCTCAGTTGCTACTACCTACTCAAGTCTATTTTTTTTTTTTTTTTTCCCAAACAGCTGGTAATTTTATTTGAAGTACAAAACAGTAAAGCCAATGAGAAAGTCTTATTCCACATCAAATTCTTTCCCCCCAGGACTTACAGACCCAGAATAATATTATGGACTTAGGTCTGGACTATTTTTTTTTTTTTTTTTTACCATGCTACTGTGTGGAATCACTCACTCACGAGAACAGTCATGGTAGAGAAACTAGTCTAGGAGAAATAAAGAGAGAATTCTGGTCTAATTGGTGTTCCTCTTAATGGCAACATTTCTGATAATCTTGATTGATATGTCCAAACAAGTGCTTACTCATTAAGTTTATTTACATTAAATTGAAGCATCCTAGCATTAAAACATCTGTAACACTAAATCTGGTACACTAGAATTTATACTTTAACTCTTCAGTCACATAACTGAATCTTAGAGTTGAGGTTTATCTTAACATTTATGCAAGCTTATGGTAGATGAGCATGCCTTCAGGGAAAATCCAGAGGCTGTGTATTAACATGGCATAGCTCTTGTGTGTTCACTTCACAGATATCTAAATATGTGTGAACTCACAACCAGCACTCAGACTTTTAAAAGTTTGGGTTAAATCCTTCAAAAACTTACCCAGAAATAGTTCCACTGAATTAATTTAATCTGTTACTTGGCAGAGGAAGAGTTGTAGCACTCAACCTTGGACTTTTAGTGTGAGATTCATCAGTCTTTTTGGCTACAGTCCCTTTATAACCAGTGGAGGGAAATAGGCACTTTTAGGGTGTGATTTGTCTTATCCTGAAGAAAGAGTTTAAAGTAGGTTAGAAAAGATAAGCTTTAAAAATGTCTCCTTGTCTCCACTGAGGGTAGCTGTCGCCATGGGTGTCCAGTTCTGAAGTAGGTGCCTGCATTGTAAAGTTGGGTGAGATGATTCTCATTCACAAGGTCCTTGTGAAAGCAAAGGGTGAGTAGAACAACTCACACTTGTCACAGAAGTACTGATCTATAGAAAATACGAAATGAAATGTCAAATTTATAGCTTTGCTTATGTAATACATATTTTGTTTAACTAGTTACATTATATCTTGGTAAATCTCAAGATGTCATCTGTAGGATACTTCCAAATACACCTGTTCTTTTTACAGAAATGAAGCATATGTCAGTTGTCCAATAGTTATGCTTCATGATAAGTAAAGGCAAGTTACTGACTTAAGATATTGAAAATATTAAGCTATTGAAGATATTCAGGATAACTCAAGATATTAAAATACATTGAGTATCTTTTCCTTTTCACTGACTGATGTTTCTCTCTGAGAAGTGTTTTTTTTTCTGGTATAAATGCAGTTGGCCTTGAAAGTGAATATAGAGCAAGTACTGCAAAGCCAGACCCAAACTTCAGGACGACCTGAAGTTCTAGAGCAGTAATTCAAACAACTCAAGACACATCTCACATAACTAAGATGCCTTTCCCGGATAAGTATATGAGAAGGGCAGGATGTCTGTGACTGACTTCTGTATAGGGCCACCAACCTTGGCATATATCACATCAGAAATGTAGAGATGGCAAGGCATAATTTGGCACTAATAAGTCTGAAACCTTGTATGAAAAAAATAAGAAGAGCACAGTGGAAAAAATGTGCACCTAGTTGTGCTCATTGTATTGCAACTTGAGCATGCACGAAAGCTCTCTCAGCTTTTACTTGTGAAAGAGAACACTGATCATGTTCAACAATATGGATTTTCTACTAACCACTTATTCAGAAAATGTATCAGCTGTCTGCTGTTAGAAAAGGCAGAATTAAGAATCTGCCTTAAGAATCTATGCAAATACCATCCTACTTGAGAATTTGTTGTTACGGTGTGCTTCAATTAACCTGTCTCCTGTATTAATTTATCATACATTACACATTCCCATTTTGAGTAAATTCTCTTTTTATTATAGTTTGTTTGTTTCTGTTTGTAGTAATAATTTGCTTATATACCTTTAGTGATGTTTTTATTTTTCTCTTCTTGTAGTCAGCTTTCCCATTAAAAAAAAAAAAAAAAAGTGTTTCTGGACTTTTCTAAAAGAAAACAAATGCTTAAAAGAGACCTTTATCTCAAGCAACTTTTGTACTTCAATCAGTCTCCCCTGTTGCAAGCATTACCAAGGACAAAGTGGCTTACACTCCAGTTTCCCTGTATCTGCGTATTTCTAGTATCTGCAGACACTGTGGACTGCAAAAAAAAAGAAGTCAGCTCTAACTTTTAAGAGTGCTTTTCTTTCTACCACTAAGTTGCTTCAGTTTTATATAGACTGGAATGCAGAAACAGTACAAAGAATTTTTTTATTCTGAAGTTAATCTCACAATATTAGATGATAATTAAAGTACACACAGTTGAAAATCCCTAAATTTTTGACTCACTTTGTGGTTGCTTTGCTTAATTGCAGGCTGTCTGGCACTATCGAGATTAAGTATTTTGGAAGAAATGTTTAATCATTCTGAAAGTAGACCTTTTATTTCCTGGATATGTTGAAAATACATGTGCTGCCTTTTAAATTTATTTTTTATTTCAGTGTATACTGTAAAAATCACAGAAAAAAAGAATGAAATCGCCAGGTTGCAGGAAAATATAAATAACAGCAGTGATGCAATTGCTGATTTGCACAAGCAAAATCAGAGTAGTAAGGAGAGCTCTAATGTGTAAGTATAATATAGCCTGAACTTATGGTGGCATTAAGAAAGTCAGCGAGGAAGTAGTGTAAAAGTGTTTGTGTATGCGTTCTGAAAGGAGTGATGTTAAAGAAAACTTTAGTATTCTTCTATTTTTTTCAATCTGCAAATCACCAGGTACAAAAATTGCGGTATTACCCATCCCCTCAAAAGGTAAATTATAGAAAAACAGACTACACTTAAGTTCGGTTTAGTTTTCTATTAGAATCAACAGTTTTCAGAGATCACGGATACTGTCTTTGCTGCATGCTAAAGTATTCAAGTAGTAAGGTAACAGAAACATTTTTTTTCTATATTTGGATACACCTGAGTTCTGTCAAATTTGAACATTATTAAGAATACTGCTTTAAAAAATGTGGGGTTTTTTAAACTAAAAAATTAATAACTATCAGTGACAATAAGGCTTCATTATGTTCTTTGCTTAATTCTGAATCTGGCTTCCTGAAATTGAAGCATCTTTCTGTTCTTTGTTCACAACATTTTCAACGTTAGTTTTTGTTTTATGCATGTTCTCTCCTAAGATGTCATATCTGTCTCTACATACAGATACAGATACTTCTACTATCAGATTTTGGTATAATTTTTACTGCAGAGTACAAAATTGTTCTTCTAGGCACACTGTTCTGATGAATGCAGTGGGCTGCAGTTCACAGTTTTCTTCACAGAATTTTTAAAAATCAGATTATTAGTGGAAGTTTTAAATGCAGATCACTTTTGGATCTTAGTAATTGAAAGTTGCTCAAGCAGGAATTTGGCTACAAGGAGCTTTTCGTTGATGACATGGAATATCTAATTTTAAAAATGAAAATTTCAGGTGTTTGCACGGGTAGCTAAAAGGCAAATCCATATTGGCAATACAGAGAGTTTGGCCCAGATAATATAATCCTGTCTTTTCTGTGCAGTGTTCATCTCTCCACAATCTGTCTAGTTCCTTGGCAGTTGAAGTGATGATTTGCTAGCAAATTCTATCCATTTTGTTTTCTTGCAATTCTATACCTAAGTACTGGACTAAAAATGTCTATAACATGTATTTGAAATTATTTTTTTAGGGTGCGAATGGAGAATGTGGGTATTTCTAAGAATAGAGTAAGAAGTAAAGATAGCATCAAGGTCACTTCTAGGTTGATTCTGAACTTTCTGAAAACAAAAGAATGCAATCATTAGTGAATGAAGTGGGTGTAGTGGTTAGCTGTTTGAATCAATTGCCATACCATGCTGATTTGTAGCTTTATCATAAAAAAGAGTTAGGAAAAGATTTGACATTGACAAGAAAAGTCTGATTTTCCTTTACCTTAAATTCTTGTCTCTAATGCACCATAAAATGAACACTTTTCTAAATTTCTGAAGCCACTCACATGACTTTCTTAGATATCTTTTGAAATTGCACATCTGTTTACAAGTCACAAAATGTTAAATGATGCAAATAAATAAATAAAAAATTAAAGGTAGAACTCAGGATCTGATCTAAGTTTTAATCATTGAATTCAATGAGTTTTGGCTCAGGTCCTACAAAGAATAATTAATGGCATTAGTGTAAAGAGACTGAAAATGAGAAGTGACTCATTAATGAATACATGTATTCACAGAAGGACAATGCTTGCAGAAGAGTAGAGACTGTGTCTTAAATTATTGAAAATGTCATTTAACGACATACTGAAAACTACAAGACACAAGCCCTAGCTATAAGATCAGACAATTAGAGCACTTACATAGTAGAATCATCTTAAACTTCTAAAATTTATTCTAGTTGATTCTCCATATATACAGGACATGATTCTAATGTTGGTTTTGTATATTCAAATATTGCTTTGGAGTCACAATCCCCCTCATAGTTGATTAATTGCCAGTAATGCTCAATAGAGCTCTCAAAGAAACAACTTTTTGTCTGGATTACTAGGCATCGTAAGTATATTGAAGCATGTTTGAAGACCTGGAACAAAATACGGGATTGTTATATTCAACAAGTCTACAGAAAATATGATATATGAGACAAGTGTGTTAGGATACTACTGTGTTTTCTAAATAAATCCATACTGATCTATGTAACAAAGAACTGAAGGTACAAAATGAAATATATCTTTTTAGACAAGTGATGACATTTTTCTAATACTTAGTTACTTGAATGATTCACACTAGGAATGTTGATCTCAGAACAGTAAGAAGTGGTGAAATACTGCTATTCCAATATTATTGTTTCTCTTCTATTTTTTAAATTTGGGTTTAAGGATGGTGAGATTTTATGGAAATAAAAAAAAAAAAACCAAAACAACAAACCAGATGAACTCAGAATGTTGCCAATTTGGAAAAGAAGTTGTTGTCTTGTCCTACTAATTAAACTACAGGGTATTTTTATTGCTTTCAGATTAGCGTGGATAAAGACTTTTTATACCCTAGCTGACGAAAGGAAGTACAAATAAATGTGATAGCTACCAAGAACTTCTGTGAAGCAGTGATGCCTTTAGCAAACTAGTAGAGGAGCTATTTGAATCTTGTATACCTTGTTGTGTTTTCAAAACAGTATTCTTGTACTACGCATTTTTTGCATGCCCACAGAATAGATGCGAACACAAAATGTAACGCACAACATGGTTTGTACATTGATTATTAAAAGCTCTATGACTTTTTCATTGCTTGTTTTTCTTCCTCCAAAGAAAGGCATAGAGTTTTGTGTGTAGAAGATCACAGTGTTTGTGTGCCAGTACATTTTTATATGAATATATATGTATGTTGGTTTCTACTTTTTAAAAAATATGACCCTTTAAAATTCAGCTTTCTTTTGAATTTGAAATAGATATGGTGAAGTACCATTTTGTAATTACAGTTTTAATCATCAGTGGTGTCAAAGAATTTGTGCCAATAGTGCTAAATATCCTGAATGGATGCTGCAGTTTCTCATTCAGCTTTTTTGTTGACAAACTTTACTGCTGTTATAAATGTTGATTATATGTTGTGTTGTTTCACCGCCTGGAGCACATTATTTTTTGTTCAAGGTTATTGGACTTCAGTTCAGAAAATTAATTGTCAGGTCTTTGTTCTTTATTTATTTCCTTGATGGAAATTGCATTAAGTTAGCTGTTACTAAAGCCTCTATTTTATTCCACCTTTGGAGTGATTGTCCAAATGCACATTCATACTTCATGAGACTGCATGCTACAAACTCTCCAGTTTTGAACCACGAGGCATACTCACATCCAGAAATGCCCTCTGCTTACCCTACTCATGAATACATAGTGCAAAGAGAACCATACATCCTCAGTTGCTCTCACCTGTCCAGTAATGAATTACTTGCCTTGTTCAATTGAAGCCTTGTTCTGTATTGTCATTTCTCCCCTCCTCCTCGGTGAGGTAATTATTTAAATGTAACTGTATCTCTGCTGTTCCAGATTCACTTAGTCTCTTCAGTCCTTATGGACTTTTCATTCTATTTCTTCAGTGTTTGATAATATCTGTGTATGTGTTCCTAAAATTGGGGTTTGTGTGTACATCTCCTAGGACAGATAGTTCTACTCAAACTTCATTGTAGATGTCTGTGTTGCCTTAGGGTAGCTTGCATTCTGGACGAATGCCCAATTTATTGATCACTTTAAGCCTTGACTAGAAAGAGGGTGTGCTAATTTTTTCCATAGAAGGTTTCCTTGGAGGGAGTATGTGATGTTTTAAATTGGAAATAGGATCTCTGTCCTACTCTAGCCCAGTCTGTTCAGATGGTTTGGTCATCATTTGAACCTCAGCTCCCAGCATCTCAGAAGTTGCCTGCTGACAACCTGTCATTACAGAGGTTATTCTCTCTGAATGAGCAGTGTTTGTCAGTAGCACATCAACTATTTAGCTCAGCAGACTTCAGTAATTTTTTTGTTCTTTCCCTCACCTCACAACACTGGTGTCTGTTAAGCTTTATTAAGGTATTACTCACTGTTCGGAGGCTCCATGCACTGGAAGTTTCTGAATTTGTTTCTTACCATCTTTAACTGAGCAACATCCTGGCCATCTGTTCAGTTACTAGTTTCTGTGAAAATGTCTTTTCTGATAGCTGTTACCTCAGAAGGGTGGGCGGGAGACCTCCAGGCCTGGATGGCTTATGCTCCTTACACCATCATTTTTCAGACAGGATGCTTTCTTCTTAAAGGTCACGTCTGAATTTCACTTGAACCAGAAAATTTTTCTGCCTGTTTTTATAGAGTTCCCATCCAAGGAAGAGGCATCTCAAATACCTGGATGTTGAGAAAGTACTATTAGTTTATTAGTTGTAAATCCTTCATGTATTTCCTGAAGTAGCTGTGCCTTCAGTTCAATCTACAGCATCCTGCTGCAAGAAAATCACTTTGGTGGGCTGCATCATAGCTCTTAAATTATAGGAAGCTTCTGAAATGTAAACAACAAATAATGGATTAATTGTATTTCAGAGCTGTAGGGGAGCCACATGAGAGGAGATCCAGGCTAAGTATCACAGAATGTGGACCCATCAGTTTGCTCTAGAGGAATCCAGTTATGAGCTGGGTACCAGCTGCTCAGCACCTTTTGTGTGAGAGACAGGTTTCTGGAATGGGTGCATTTAACAGTGTGGACATTGGGCATACTATATAGCCAGATATACCAACTGCATGTAATATGGAAATATGTGTGGATGATGACTTAGAGGTGGAAAAGAATGTTACTTGACAGCAACTGAAGTTCAGTTCTCATCTGCTGTTAATTATTATTAACTATTAGCTGGTGTGTTCCTGTAGGGGCAGAATGTGAGGTCAGATGTAGTCAGTGAGAGGTGGTATGTAGACCTGTGACTTCAGACTGCCAGGCCAGTGCTCCCAGTGTCTGGGCTATTGTACTGAAAGATAGCAATCTCTTTCTGTCTGTTTTCTGAGCAGGAGTTGCTCGTCAAATGGAGGAAATTCTGAGTTTGTCACTGCTGCGTGCATTTAGGTATGAGACAGGTGCTGGTGGCACTGATGAGACTGAAACTGGATGCACCTTCAAGAAAATCATACATATCTAAAGGATTTACTGATGATGCTGTTCTGAGTGCCTAATATGTGAATTTAGATGCCTATTTGCTTAGCCTTAGGCTTCAAAAATTTGTGAAGCTCACTCTATTTCTTAAAAAGTTCTTTATAATCTTTGTTAATAATCCTATATATGTATATTCTTGAATTTGCAGCTTTAAAATCTTAAGAAAATAAATGTATGCGTGTAAAAGCTTTTTATACTAAACCTGTTTATGTTTTGACTTTCAAAACATCAAGTAAATTATTTGTTGTTTTAAGCTAGCTAAAGTAACTTGATATCTTCATTTCTGAATGCCTTTTTATTAGGAAAGACCACTTCCATGACCTTTTTTTTTTTTTTTGTTACTTTCTCCACAGATGGAAGCCCACCTATGTAATTCTTAATAAGCATGAAGAATATTTGAAAAATGAAGTTGAAGCTTTACAAGAAGCTGTAGAAAATGAGAGGTATCTATCATCATGTGAGATGAGGTTTCTGGCAGTAGTACCTATTAACCTGTCTTAGCAAAGGTAGTGCAGTCTGCATCAAAAAGTTGCTGTAAACTTTTCAGGATAATATAAGTGAATAATTAAAAGCATTTTTGTTTTACATTATTATGAGGTCATATGTTATTTTGTAGTTACTAATGGAATAGGATAAAATATGGCTTCTTCAAATACAATTGCTTCCTAAATGCCTATTATAATTTTTCAGAATATTGTTCAGTTGCCTACAATTTCAAGAAAAGCTCAAGAAATAAAAGCAATGGATGTTTCAGCTTTGGCAGAAATATGAAATATCAGAGCATATTTATGAAAGCATACACAAGTTTTAGTTATGAATGATTTTTTTACCATTATTATGACACATTTTCAAGTATACTGTGATTTCAGTGGTTTCAGATATTCAGGTTTGGGGAGACTCTTTTGAAAATATACAGGTTTTATGTTTTTTTCAGAAGCATCATTTAATTGAACCTAAGCCTTTAAATTCGTATATGGACTAAGTAAGATAATAATTAGAAACATTCACATAATTTTATTATTTTATTTATTTATGAATATGAATTGCATATGATTATCAGAATACACAAATCAAGTTTTTGTATACTGCTGTGTGTTCTTCAAAGTAACCACAAAGCATGCAAATTCAGTATTAGATCCTGAAAAAGAGTGTGAGTGAATCAGGAAAGCCTCGTCTAAAACCATTTTAAGACCGGTTGCAGGTAAGATTCTAGTGAGTATTAATTGCAAATTCAATTCTGTTCCGTAAGTGTCATTTCAGTTGTTTCATTTTCATTAGTTAGATTCTTCATTTTAAAGAAATGAGTGTTTGTGCAATGTAGCTGCCTACATGGAATAAAAAACAGTCCATGAAGATTTTCACTGAAATCTTCAAAATGCAGTGTGCCAAGTTAATCCTCTGAAGTTTTATTTAACACTCAGGTAGAACTGATCTTCATTTTAGAGAGGCTGCTCACCTTTACTGATCCGCTTATGAAGGGGAAGAAGTTGGTTAGCCCTGTGGTGAAAAAATCATGGCAGACCTATCTAGATATCTAAATACCAATTTAGAGTGTAACTTTAGGTAATTTAAAATGTGGACTTTGATTGTTTTGAAAGTGTTTTTTTTTGTCAGTTGTCCAAGACAGCACAAATAGCGTGCCTGATAGCCTTTAATTAACTCAGTTAGTAGCTTATCTGTCTTCTTCCTGTTCAGAGCTCTATATTTGGTGAAAAATAAGGCTAAATTGGCTTTCTATGACCATATGATTAAGCCATTTTGGCTTTCACTAATTTGAGCTGACAAACCAAAGAAGCATTACTTTTAAATTGCTTCTTTAGATAACTTGTTTCAATTCCAACATGAAAGTGTTTGATCTGTTTTCCTGAGCTTAATTATGAAACATCATGACTATAAATCATAAAATAAATTTAATTTGTCTGTCTCTCAAATATAGTCCTGTACTGAAGCATTTGATGATATATTCAAAACAGTAAGATGTGCATTCAGCAAATTCTGAATATTTCAATTAGAAAGAAAAACAAGTACATTTGGAACTTTATGAGCTGAATGTGCTTTTTAGCCTGGCATCTGGAGGCACTGAGGACATATACTTTAGATGGGAAGATGTTTTAAAAAGATGGGCAGATCACTTTGCATTTAATTAGGCACTTATTGTGGAAGTTTTAAGAGTGTTCCACATTTTTTCATTATTATTGGTTTCAAGAACATATAAAAACGCTTCTGTGAACTGGAAGTTCATCCTGAAAATAAGTGATATGAAGAAAGAAAGAGGAATAAATAGCTATCCACATGATGTTCAGGGGTTTTGTGGGTGTTGTGCTTTTCCCATTGTCATTAGATTAAAACTTTTTCTAATGACTTTAATGTGAACAGTGCTGAACTCTAAATAGCCTATGTTTAACTGTGTGAACTGGGGGATGTGAATTTCTTCAGAAAAAATATTTAAAATAATGACAATTTCTCAGGACTACTCTACTCTACTCTACTCTACTCTACTCTACTCTACTCTACTCTACTCTACTCTACATGTCCATAAATATTAATCTGTGGAAAATAAATTTTGGGAAAGGAGTGTAAAGTTTGAAGATGACTTTCAGAAGCTTGAAACATATCTGCTACAATAAATTATTTATATTTAAAAATTTTATTTGCAATTGTATATCAGCAGATTTCTTTGTTGTTCAGTTATTGTTTGTAGCATATATTAAATTAAATAGAACCCAATATTTCCATCTTTCATACCTGGGAAATTTTGTACAGTGTACACAGATATTCAGCAAATCAAGAAACTTATATTTCCCTGACCACCCATGCAGAAAAATAAATAGATTAATGTAATTTTATACAAGAAGTTTGGGAAGGGTCAATTCCTTGGTTTCACAGTATTGATCTAAACTTCTTTCCCCTAAACAGGTTTATTGAACTTCAGTCAATTTAACAGGAACTAGTACCTGGAGTGTAGTTTTATCTGAAAATTAAGATTTTACTTTTTTGTTCCTGTAACTTTTGTTTTCCTTTTGTAAGAGCAGAAGCTTCTACTATCGAATTTGGACACACATTTTTCTCTCTTTCATTGCCTGGGCTAGCCAGTGAGCAGACAGCAGTGTCTGCCTTTCAGTCATGCTGCATCTAAATGATTAATAGCAGTTTGAGATAAAACTTATTCTTTAAAGGGAAATACTACCTTTGTAAGCTGTGAGAGCTGTTCCTCAAGGTAGGCTTTATTCATGGTGCAGGTAAACATGTGGGTTTCTGGCATTAGTTGCTATTATGCATCATAATTTGTTTCATAAAACAATTTCTGACTTATCTACAAGTGTACTAATAAATTAATATTTTAAAGTTTTCTGTCTGTACTGCTCACATAACCTTTTCCTAGAGGGTGACATTTCCTTCACCTTATATTGGCATATTCTAATATCAGGCAACTTCATGTTGTATTTATTTCTCAGTTAAATGACTACTCTGTGTTAATGATATATGATGGGTGTCTGTAGCTGTGATATCTCTTTATAAACATGTACCGTCTGCATAAACGCTCACCATCAAACTCTTATTAAGTAGCTTGCATATGCCTAAATTTTTCTTTTTTTTCAGGAATAAGGGGCATAGAATGTCAACATTTGAAAAAATGACATTTGAATTTATTTTTGAGCAGTTATTAAGCTTTTGCTTTCAAATGAAGAGAGAAATATAGTTACTGGGCACTGGTTGTTATTATTCATAATTAAAAAACCTATTAATAGTTAACTCTTTTTTATGTGGGAAATACAGACTTCCTGCAGATCTATATTTAGATTATCTGTGTGTGACATTAAGAACTGGAACCAGTTCCTTGTTTGCATTTTTAATTATTCAGCTTTCCCAAAAGACACTACTTTTTGTACTGGAAATTACCTGTAATAAAAGTTATGCCTAGCAGCATTATTGGTGTAATAAAAGACTCATCCCAATGAGATAGTTGCATATTTGATCTGTCATTAACAATCTATAGTGTAAATTCCTTGCCTGAATGAGAAAACCTGAAAAAAAAAAGTCTTTTCCAGTGTAGTCACTGCAATTGATTTAACACAAGAGGATGGCTGTTCTGTGCAACAGCATTTTTCTTTCTTTTCTTTCCAAACATAATAGTGATCAATTTTCAGCTTTACATGATGAGTTACTTTATATTACTTGTTACAGTAGTTGTTTATTTATATAGTGCAATTTTTTCAAAAGCCGATTTAAAGTTTTAAAAATATCTTGAACATTAATTGATGTTACCTACTTTAATAATTTGTAGCTATGTACTCACATGATGTCAGTGAAATTATAGTCATGTAACATTAATTTAGAGGGCAGGCCTACAAGAAGCTGAGCATTCTGGCTCTTTGCCAGTTAAACATTTAAGTATTTCTTAATCTTAACCATGAATAGTTCTATCGTTTTAGCGTAACTAATGTGTGTATTTGTCTTCCCTGAGTCAGAGACATTATCCAGCATCCCCTTGGAGCCAGCTCTTAGTCCAGTGATGCATCAGGCTGCTCTAGATACGGGATGCTAGGCCAAATTTTCTTTTACTGTAAGTTTGATACAGCTCTGCTGAAACTGGTGGAGTTGTGCCAATATACACAAACAGCGAATTTGTCTTGCAGTGAATTTCATGATAATTACACAGGGAAAAAATATTTGTCATCTGCCAGGCTGCCTTTGAATATGGAATGGTCTACATTCCTTTCTGAACAGTGAGGTTTGAGTGGTTTTTACATCATATGTGTATTCTTTGTTACATACAGCATAGTATTCCTTGAAAATAGATGGAAGATAAAAAAATATAACCAAATAGTTGTATGTTAAATGTAATCTGACTTTTTTTCAGGAAAGCAGCAAGTCTAATTGAGCTGATGCCATAAATTAATAGTTTTTTTCCTTATAAACAATGGCTTAATGAGAAAATAATTATATGACATGTATTTTTATAGGAAAATGTATCAGGATTACATAACCCAGTATAAAGAGGTTTTGAAGCAACACCGTGAAAAATATGCAGAAACTGCTCTTGCACAGGAGTATTACAAAAAGAAGAAAGAGCTTGAAGAAATCCAAAACAGAGTTTTGAAACAGTTTGAAAAATATAAATTGAAAGAAGATGGTTGCTTGGATGTTCTGGGTACTACTATTATCAATGCTTTTACAGTAAACCCTATTGGTAATGCACTGCACATTAAAGTGCTGCTCAGAAACCTCTAATTAATTTTCCACAGTTTCTCTTAAACTAATAAAAATGTCTTCTTTTTGTTACACCATTTTTAGGAAAAAATTCTGTAGCAAACTGAGACTTGAACAGGAATTTAGATATACATACTAATATTCATTCCTCCAACACATGAATGAAATGGGGAGAGGTTTGCTATTGGGCTTCTTGGGCTAAAAAAGTCCTAAAATTACTTCAGAACAAGCCTCTCAATATTTTACATTTATTTTTTTATATCTTTTTGGTGTTGTTTTTAATGGCATTACTGTCTGTTACACTGCTATTTCTGTTGTGTATACTAAGTAAGGAGAATTGCTTCTGATCTATTAGTTCATCTCATATTTGGAACAAAAATTGGATTTGTGAATTAATCATCTGAAATGAAATTTTATTTCTGCAGAGCCTGTTCCTTTTAAATCCCTAAATGACTGGGCTTTAAGGATGTATCCTTGATTTGTAGTGTTTATGAAATTTACAGGCAAGAAAGTTTATATTAACCTTTTGCAACTTTCTGTTAAAAAATATAGTAATTATTTATATATTTATGTTTAGAGGGGCAGCATTGACATTTATCTGTGAGAAAATGGAAGGTCAAACAATACTCTTCAGTTTCTGGGAGCATTTTGAGGAAAGAAAATAAAATTTCACTTGATATATCCATCAGAATGCTTCACTAAGGAGGAGAAGCCTAACTGAATTTAGATTTGAAGATTTGCCTGGGAAATGTAGATTTGACAGAGCTTTCTGCATCTCTAGCATTTGCGCTTATGGCATAGAGGTGTCAGGGATCTGATAGTTCCCTTACTTGAAATAATAATGTTGCAGTCTATGTTCCATAACATGAAAGTGCTTTTTCAAGGCAAAAAACACAGGAAATGTTAAAGCTTGCTGAAGTTGCCGCACAAGAATCCATTGAACTACAAAAAGAATCAGAGGAATTAGAAATTAAAATTAATTCTTTTAAAAAGGTAACTATTTTAATTTCATTCTATATAAATACATTTTATATATGTAGTTATATATACCACCATTATATTTTCTAAAACATAAGAAAATAGTGTATTTTCAAGCATACAGACCAACAGGATGATTCCAGTATTAGTAATTATGTTTCTATAGCATCACATATGTTTTCTTAGAGAAGAGGGGTCCATGAATGGAATGTAAAGACTCTTAAAGCTTGCTTTCTGTTGACCTCAGTTTACACCATCATTTCCGTCAAGGCACTGTGTCACGGTGACTTTTGTGCTAGCTCAAGAGGGCCAGAGAATACACTTCAAAATCTAGCAAGGCTGTTCCTTAGTGAGCCCCAGGGCTTGAGTATACAGATTTCACAAGTTCTAGTGTTTTTTTAGGTTTTGTTAGTATAAATGTGTTTAACTAAACATGATTTACAATAAGAATCATGTAAATTATTTTTTATTTTTCCCTCAAACAAATACGGGTAAATAATACTTAGAGATAAAACTGGTTGATTTTAGACAGGAGTTCAGTTCCACTGACTAGAAGAAGCACTGATTCCAAAGGGATGGTCTTCCAATAAAAAAAAAAAAAAGAAAGAGGACTTTGTCCAGACAGCATTTTGACCCACTCCTCTGCTAGGAGGCAAAAGGTCTCTTCTAAGAGTGAGTAGCCCAGTAGGTGAATATTGTAACAAATTTGGTGAGTTTTATAGTATTACATCTGGAGACTTTTACCTCTCTGGACCAGATGATAAAGGATGCCATTTCCTGCTGTGTCAGCCATGTCCACTTCAGCCAGCCTTATGCTGATAGAAAAGTATTGTGCACAGATGGTGTTTTCTATTTATGTTTTGTGACATTCTTTGACACTCATAGACAAAAGTTCCTGATGTGGTATGTGCTGTATAAACATAGAGTAAGAAGAGCAGTGGTAAATTTATTTATAACTGTGAAGGAGACCACATACGGAGATCCTTGTTCTGAATAGATAGGTAGAGTCTGTGTTCAAAAACTTCTGTGTTTATTCCAGTTGTTACAGTTGGCCCAACAAAAAATATTCTCTCTGTTTAACCTTGTTCTGCTTATTTCTTCAGACCATCTTGGCTACAAAAACTCTACTACGGTGTACTGGTTTATCAGGTTTACAAAACATTTGCAGCACGTAGCTATAATTTTTCAAGATTTTTTTATTTTTATTTGTTCTTTATCTTTTAAGACATTTGAAGAGACTACAGAAGATCAAAATAATTCTGAAATGATTGACAGAAAAAATCAGAAAAGTCTAGAGAAGCCAAACGAGTTTAAAGAAAGGTACGCTTAAAAATGATTTCTTTCCCTTGCTTTCATGCAGCGTACTATCTCAGCATTTACACAAAGACTGCCACGAAACACAAATTGTTGCTAAATAATAACTGGGAAGCTTTTCTAACCCTGGTCATGTGATTTAATAATGTAATTTTAAAAGTTTTTCTTGGGGTTAAGATGGTATCAAATTTTGATTCTTGGAAGCTAAATGTATCTGGAAACATACTGTTCACAAGTGTTTTGTAGAAACCTTTGCTCTTCACAGCTATTGCCGATAGATCTGTGTGAATAGTTTTACGAGTTTTGAATACAACTACAGTTACTGTACAGTCAGAGATAAAATACATTAACTCTACTAAATGCATATTTGGGAAAAAAGAGTCAGGGTTCCACATGTCTTTTGTCTTCAGCTCTGAACTACTTTAGAAATGTAACTTTTAATTTAGTTCTTAAAAACAAGCATGAATGAAAGTTTCATAGGATTACTGGCTTAGTAAATTAGTCAGTGGTCATTTACAATTGGGACTCACTTTAATTGGAGCTCAATTACAGTGACTGAAAATCACCATCAGGACTATCTTGTACTTATCTGGAGTCCTTGTGAACATTGAAACATTACCCTTAGAGCTGATGCTTTTAGTCCAAAATCCATTTTAAACTGAAAATATGTCCAAAAGACTTTGTCCAAGTGATTTTACTTTATGGTGTGCTTGAAAAAGAAGCTTTTTAGGGCTTTAAATAGGGATTCAGTGGACTATATCTATAGAAATGTGTCATTTTAATCATTCCTAAGATCCTTTCCATGGGGGCTTTTTAGGTTTTTAATACCTTCTTACAGGCCTATGAATTATTCAGATGACTTTTTTTTTGGTGGTTTAAGCCTTTACACCCATTCTACCTTTTTATGTAAGCTTTTTGTGATTGATAAGACCTCATAAATATAGGGAAGCAAGAAATCCACGTAATTTTAAGACTAGGTTAAAAAAAAAACAAGATGGGAAGCACTCCCTTTGAATTATCGGTGAAACTCATGTAGGTTCAGTCTGCAGAAAGAAAAATGCCAATTAAAGACCTCTTGTAAAAGGCAGAGATCTATGCTCTGCACATGGAGGAGTAAGGAGCACTCCATCAGGCTCTTTGTGGAAAGGAATCTATAGGGTACATTGATAGACCTGCCATTTGTATGTAAACTTCAGTGTCATGGAGTCTTCAGGTGCTTGTACCTCCACTTGATGCTGTGTCTTGATTGCACACAAGTAGATCTTTTTGGTGCTCTTACTGAAGCAATAATTGTATGGCTTGCATTATGGTTACAAGATGTTGTAAACATTTTACACTATCCTAACTCACATTGCCTTTTAACCTCCATGTGTGCATTGATGTGATATATGGTATCAGACCATAACCTGATTATTAATTGATACATTTTTCCTAGAGTAAATTTAAAACTTATTTATGTTAAAGATATCCTTGATATAAAGGCTAGTAGAAAATGGCATAAAAATTGTTTTTAAAAATCCCTATTTGGCATTAATGTATTAAGGAAAGTCTTCACTAGAAAGCATAGAAGTGTTTGATTAAGTAACTACTGATGTTAAAATTAGGTGTATTATTAATCTGTGATAATAAATACTGTGAAAAAAACACAGAAAATGTGCTAAGATAATAACTCATAGGGATTAAAACCTTTTCAGACTCAAGGCAATGTACAAAAATATAAGAGCAGTTTGGGTACCAAAGGCAGTAGTCTGTGAGCTGTTCTGCAGTCACTACAAGGTTACTACCAAGCAGAGAGCTTTGTGAGGAAAAAGGAGATATCTTCATCTTCTGCCACAAAAAAAAGAACAAGAAGAAGAACAAGATCAAGATCAAGAAGAAAGAGTTGTACTGTGAATCTCCATGACCTGATGCACACCAGGGTGAAGAGAAGACAGCAGCATCAAGGAAAAGAGCTAAACAAAGCAATGAAAGCACTGAGCAGAAAAATATACAAATTACTTCCCATGAAATGCTTTAGAGGTCTACAAGACAAGAAACCAACTTGCAAGTTAATGAATAGGAGCTGGTATACATGTTCTTGTTTGGTCACGAGGATGGCAATGGTAACCATTCTTTTAAAAGGCTTGGAACGTTTTAGTTCGAAACACTGCTGGCTAGCTAGTCATTGATTGGACTGACTGCAAAACACAGATTCCTCTTCTCAGACCAGCTGTTTTCTCTGATTAGTGAGCTTTTATAGTTCACCAGTTACACTGACAAGTGTCATAGTTAAAATTTCCAAATCAAGAATTGTCATCAGTCACCAAATAGCACTCAGGTCTTTTGAAGGCCTGGTCTTGATTTCTCAATTAGAAATTATATTTATTACATAGAAAGGCTGACATCTTGAACTGTGCTTTGGCATATATCATGTTCATTCTCTCTACATTTGTAAAATGTTTGAGTACACCTTAATGCCATTATTCTGTAATTCTGGTTTGTTGTTGTAACATAATTATTGGAAAAATACTTACAAAGCTGTTTCTGGCCTTCTAGATGTTAATGTATATGAAAAGTCAACCCTGTGCTGACCAGAACCTCATAGGCAGTTTTTAGTTACTAGTTATTATGGCAGCTAGTTATTAGAAGTTCTTCCAAAAGGCCTTGCTGGCATGTGCCTGATTAGGATACTGAGTGTGGCTTCAGTAGAGACTCCTGGTAGATACCACAGTGGCAAGTGTCATTCTTCATATGTACATTAAAGACACTTGATTGCTATAGTGAAGACAAAGTCATTAATATTTGGGCTCATTGTGCTACAAAGAAGAAACTACTGCTAAGGAAGTGGGATTTGATTTTGATTTAAGGATATCTATTCTGTTCTTTGCACTTTAGTAAAAAAAATTATCAATTTCTAAGTATGGATCAAGATAAAGATTTTTTTATCCACTCAGATGTCTACTAACAATGAAGTAGAGAAAGAAGACATGATCTGACTTGGTACTGCAATTTGGACTATTTTGAGCTTCAGTATGCAGTTTGATTTTTCTTTCAGTGGTTATTAATTATGTCAGAGAAGATGCACATGGGGTTTTTTCAATAGTGTTTTTGGGGTGGGAAGGGAGAAGGTATATTGCATAGGTATAAAGTTTAACTGCAGGATCTTTTGGAAGGTTTTGTTAAAAAATACCTGTCTTAAGGGCTTCTGAGTCCTGCTTGTATCTCTGCCATCAATACATTCTTCTGAATAGATATGCATTGTAAATGAATGCTTTATTTTGTGGGAAGTGAGTTTTTAGAATTGTAGAGTTGTCTGCTAGGCTCTACAGAAGCACGTGGAAACTGACTCTAGGAACTTTAAAAGCACTATTTGGCACCCTAAGTTCTGTAAAAAAGTGGCTTCTGACAATCTAACTCATGATAAAAAGCAGACTTGTTCAATTTTTGAATGGTTGTGGTAAAGTGGTCAAATAAGCCATTTTGAACAAAGTGAAGCAGTTTTAACCAGGGTTCTGTGCTTAGCTGTTTTTATTGCTCTTTGTTTTTGCACTCTCTGCATCTGAATTTAAAGATACACCAGCTATATGCACATCTTGTTTCCTGTAGTACACACATTCTTGACACAGGTAATATAATTACTGTAACTGAAAGAATTACAGATTTTTTTTGTTAGTCTTTTATTATTCCTGGTTTTTTTCGATTGATGTATTAGGTACCATATGGTTTATATAGTTTGTTAGGTCTTAGTCCAGCAAAGCACTAGATGTATATGTAACTTTACAGGTGAAGATAGTCCTTTTAATCAGAGTTATTGACTGCGGTGCATTCATGGTTTTGTGTGATCATAGCTGTGCATGTAATATATTAGTTTAATGTGTTGTTAGGTCCCTATATCTTAACCAGAGCTTCCAGTTTGGTATTTTTTCTGTACTGTTGCTAATTTTACTCCACACTACCTTATGAACTGCATCCTACATTTTATCTTATTTTTATTTAAGGTAAATTTCAAGAAGAAAAAAAGACTGACTCAATTCTTCATTTGTTCTGTATAGTATTGTTTAGTCAGCTATAAGCCAGATGTTGCAGCTAGAACCACAGAGGCCTAAGCAGGAATGACAGAGAGAAAGTAAAATAGAACTCATTATTTTAGAAAATGGTAAATGTTCCTGTGCCAAATAGCCACTTTACCCTTCATTGTCTGCTAACCTTTGTCTTTCTACACTGTAAAAGGCTATTTACCCTACACAGATAATTACTCCACAAGTGAAAACACTTGAAGTTTCTCTTTTGTGTATGAATAGTGTGAGTATTCCAGACAATCTTAGAGAAAGAAAAAGTGGTTTTAAATGTGAAAATGTGATTTCAGAACTACAGTAATGAACTACTTAATTAAAGTGTAAAACCCCAAACTACTAATACTTTTCTTTGATACTGACAAATATAAGTCAGCAGTATTCTTATGGTTGGCTTATTACTACTTTATGTCTTCTTCTTTCAGTCATATTCTCTCTGATATTATTTAAAGAAAACTTCAATTTTTATCAACTGCTGGAGCTGAAAGAAGTAGAACCTCTCTGGCAGCATGCATCTCCCTTGAAAACTCCACTTACTTGAAGCAGTTATATTTTGTGGTTTCCTTTCTTTTGCAACTGTTAATTAAATATTCAACTATTTTTTAGGGTATTTGAAGAGAGTGAACATCCATCTTTGCTAAATGAGAAACATCAACAGTATAAACCATTACGTATCCCATGTATTCCTCAGAAATTAGTCCAGTCTGTACAGAGTATTAGATTCTCAGTGCAACAAAAGGAAACAGGTGCAGTGCATTTAATGATCTTTCTATGAGGATCTTGGATTGTTTTTGTGTAAATTAATGGAAACCATGATAACAAATCCAGTGAACTGATCCTACTGTGATAGCTGAAGCTAGGCTTTCAATGAAGTAGGGTACTTACCTGTCTTTATGTTCTGAAAATCTTCTGTATCTGATTCCTCTCTTATCTGTGCAACAAGTAAAGTAACATAACAGTTATACCTGATGCATAGTGTCAGAAAAATATGAAACATACCTTTAGTACTGTTTACATAAATACAGTAAATATTAATCAACTATTTGCAGTAAATTGATACTTTCATATTTTGTAATAATTTTCATTAGCTTTCTATTAACAGGAAAATTTATAAACTTTGTTCCCAAGTTCAGTTTAACAGTACCATGCTTTGGATACTTAATCTTATTAACAATATTAAGTAATATTTGTTAATTTAGGGAGAGAAGAAAAAGAAAAAACTGTGGAACTTTCAGTGGCCACTAGCAGTTCCTCCAGCCTTGCAGAAAATTCACAGTTATGCAGCTCTCCCACTGATAAAAATGTGAGATGAGTATATAATCTGTTTTATGTAGTTGTTTAAATTTAAAACACTTCAAATATACCTAGTACTACTATATTTTACATAAAACTTGTTAACACTGTAACCAGGATGCTAATCTGCTCTTACCTGGTAATCAGAATCTTTCTTTGGTGCCATTTCTAATTCAACTGAAAATATGTATGTTCTTACAAAATGCAACTGGTAGTCATAGTAAGCATTTTAATGCCAAGCTTGAGGTGGACCATCGATTTAATTAATTAAATTAATTTAATCTTGTATAATAGTTTTAAAAATTTAGAATAACCTTTGTATAGCAAATTTTTGGAATTCCAGAGGAGGAACATGATCTTCTATTACTGATTAATCTTCAGCCATCTACTCCATAATTAAAGATTTCATAAAAGACTACATGTGCAGGACGCTATACAAGACTGCCTGATGTTAACAACTCAGTTCTGAGGTTTAACCGGAAACAAAAATCTGGGCTGAGAGGAATTGCTTTGTACACTTGAGGAGTCCACAGCTACATTTTCCATCTCTCACCCATAAATGAGTTTATATGGCACTTTTTTGAAAAGGTGAAGGGTATTGCAGCTTAATATCTTAAATATATATACACAATAAACCAATCCAGAAATAAGTTGGAGGAACAACTTGCACAGTTACTACAACCACTAATAAAATTTCATGAAGTGCAAGAGCATTCATAGGACCAGTAGATTTTTAAAGTATAAAAGGAGTACTCAGATAAGGCCATGGCAGATGAAATAAAATAGTTTGTAACTGTTTGCTGTGCGGAAGTTTCTATAGCAAACCCTTTTTTTATAAGGGACACCTCACTGGATCTATTTAAAACCAAATTTTAATGAACAACCAAAACTGTCAAGTAAAAAATTAACAGACCCCGTTGTAATTTTAAGAATTTAGAAGGAACTGAAGGATGAAGTGAGTGAATCACTAAATGGTTTGGAGTGGAGCCTGTGGTAGAAGAAGCCTTGATAAGACAACATGAAGGGCGATAGGTAGACCAAGTGGAACAAGACCAGAAGAAACATCAAGCAATTCTGATTTGTGACTGGCTGAGGGAGTTGGACATGATGAGGATGATGGAAGGGCTGTTGCCAGGGTAATCCAGAGATGAGGGTGGGAATCTGGACCTAGAATTGCATTTAGAGAATAGTGGGAAGCAGTAAGTCAAGGTTAAGGGAACTTTAAGAAAGGGTGATGACAGCAAGGGAAAGAAGATAGTCTGAGGAAAAATAGATTGGAAGAAAGAAGGTTGCTATGCTTCAGAAAAGGCTTGATGTAAACTACAGGAACTGAATGGCAGACAGATTCTGCATAACCAACCCTTTTACCCCCATCCCGAGCTGAATTCAATTTGATACATTTTGCAAATTGAAAACAAAACAGAACTAGAAACTGAACTGTGAAATGTGTAATCTGATGCTGAGGCATAGATTCCTAGTGCCACTCTGCCCTTAAGACACAAATACATGCTACATGAAAGAGTTAGGGCTTCTGATCTGATGAAAATCTGTGAGTGGGAGTATATGCATGTTTTCTGCAGTTTTTCAATCCCCACAGGAGACATACTGATGTATATACTCACTTTGGCCTTTGGAGGTGCAGACAGGCCTGGCTCCAGCCCCTTCTGTGTTCTCAAGCAACCTGGATGCAGTAGTAGAAAACCTGGATGAAGTTTGTAAATTATGTAATGTTGTTTGTGCAACAGAAAAGTTAATTATTCACATATAGTTATCAGTGCTGTGAAGGAGACCATAAAAAATTGTAGAAGTGGTTTTGGGTATTATGCTGTTAAAATGTAGGTAAAGAAAAACAAAAAAGTTTTTATGTTGCCTTACCCCTAAAGAGTGGTTAAAAGAAGGGATTTCCACAGTCAGTGATCTTGTTGAAGTGACAATTTCATATGCTGTCTCATTTGAATTTTTTGCTATGTTGTAGATGCTTATTGACACTGCAGGGACTAATAACTCACAAATTGCCCAAGTTCCATCAATAAAACGCTTACAAAACCAAATGCAATTCAGGTAACTTTTCTTAAATATAGGATTTTAAATTCTTGTGATTAAGGTTTATGTAAATAATCCATATTTAGAGAAACAGTGATTTTTGTCTTTTAGACTGGCAATTCCTCCAAAGCAGACAACTTCCAATCAACAGTTTGAGAGTGAAAATGCAGTAATAGGTAAAGTACCGCTATAATTTTTTTGATAGAGTGTGCTGTTACTGTATGCTGGATCACATAATTACAAAAGAGAAAATTCTAGGGGCCAAATTTTCATTCTGGTACTAAGTGGGCCACCATTTGTATTCCTTTTCCAGTGTAGCAGACAGGCAGTGTCCTAATTTAATTGACTGAACTGCTCAGTAATGTGGGATTCTTTCTGTGCTGACCATTGCTAATGAAAGGAACCTTCCAGCATCTCTTGTAAATCCATGCTCTAGTCTCAAATTACTTGGGTAAAATGAAATCCAGTCTGGAAATTTGCCCAGAAGGCATGAGGAAATGTACAGAAAAAGGAGATAATAAACTCAGTAATTTAGGAATCTTGAAGCATCAGATTATTAAAGATGAAAATTAATTTGAGGAATACATACAGAACGCTTACAGAAACAAAACAGGGTAGTTACAAATACACCTATAGTTTTTGAAATCACAAGGCACTGAACTTTAGTTTAGAAACATTTTTTTCTAATTATACTGCCAATTTAGATGCATGTCAAAAATGATAGTGGTTTTTGTTTTTGTTTTTTTTTATACATGAGATCCTAAGTATGTGTCCTGAAACACAGGCTCTTAACAAACCCACAGTGCCTGAAATGTTGCACAGTCTGAAGCTCAGAGCAGAAAGTCTGATAACATTCTTCTCATTTCTCATCCCGGCTTTTGCTCAGGTCCTTAAGATACACTTCATCAGTGTCATATGGATGTGCTTTTTATATTGTTTCCACATGGTTTCTATTGACTAGTATTAGCACTCTGAGGGCAATAGCTGGATTAGATAAACATAGCACTCTCAGGGAACAATAGCTAGGTTTGAAGAACATACCAAACCACATGACTCAGCCTAAGCACTGCTTTAACGATAGCGAGTAAGTGGCAGAAAGAGAGGACATAGCATAGCAGGTTATTATGAAAACTACAGTCAGAATGCTTGCTTACCAATAGCAATGACAAGTTAGTAAACCTTTCTCAAGGATTCTTTCCCACAATGTAATTTTTATTTATCCGCTTAAAATGCTGTTATAATACAAGCAGTGCTGTCTTTTTTGTACAGCAAACCGGGAGGCCAAATGTGGAGATAAAGAAGCAGAAGATGAGCCAAAGGATTCTTCATATATACCTCAAGTAAGAAAAATATTTCTTATGTCATAAGTAAATATTTAATTAGAATAGTCAAAATATCTTGACATATTTGAGTCTATTGGCAAGAGGTAAGTGTCAGAAATTGACAGGTGACTTATAGGGCACCCAACATGTGAGATGCCCATCAGTGCTTTCTGATTACTAATATAGTGATATATTATATATACATCTATACTAATAAACATATATACTAATGTAGCCATAGTAATACTGGTCTTGATCATGTCAGTGTTCTGTGGGGTTTTATGCTAACAATAAGCTATTTAGGATGGACTATTCTATGCACATTGTAGTTTTTGTATAAATTAGTGCATATAAATTTCATCAATGCGAGCTGATGAAACATTTTTAAAAAATGTTTGCATTTGAAACTCATTTGTCCCACAAAACTATAGTAAATAGGCTCTGTGCTGGCTACAGAGTGTGTATGGCTCCACTGGCACTGCTTTTACTAGCTGTGCCTGAATGTGAGATCAAGCTCACTGTGCCATCATATTCAAGCCAGTTGTGTGTACAGCTTGCGTGTAGAGGTGATACCAAGACGTGGTTTGACACTGGCCAGCAGCTAGCACCACATAGTCACTTGCTCACTCTCCCCACAGTGGGATGGGGAAGAGAATCAGAAGGGTAAAAATGCCAAAACTTGTGAGTTGAGATTAAGGCAGTTTAACTGGTATAGCAAAAGCCATGCATGCTACCAAAACAACATCCCCTCTACAGGCAGTTTAGGCATTTCCAGGAACATAGGGCTTTATCACACATAATGGTTACTTGGGAAGACAGATGCTGTAACTCCAATCATTCCCTCTTCCTCTTTCTTGCCCTCCACTTCTGTTCCTGAGCAAGATGTCATATGATGTGGAATACCCCTCTGGTCAGTCGGGGTCAGCTGTCTCAGCTGTGTCCCCTTCCAACTTTTTGTGCACCCCCAACCTACTCACTGGCAGGGCAGCCAGTACACAGGATCAAGTTTGAGATACTCCTTATCTTCTGGTTGGCTCACTACAGGCTGATGCCTGCAGGCAGCTGGTGGAGAAGAATGTCTTTAAAACAATATTGAGTCTGCTGGAAATTGCTCCACAGAATCCAAATGTGCATTCTCATTTACCATTTTCTGAGGAAGAGGAAATAGTCAACTGAAATATGGTGACGTTCCTATATTTCACTAGGGCATATCAAGAGGGCTCCAGTGTGACTTTAAGCATTATGCTAAGACATACTTTAGAGTGAAAGTGTTCTTTTATTAAAAATGTGTTTTCAGTCACTTAAAGAGTTTCTTTATTTTTGGGGGTGAAAATTTGCATATATAGTTTCATTCACAATAAGTCAATTTTAAACTAGATAAATGAAGGTTACAGTTTTAAGTATGGTGAATATGTCACTGTAAGAATTTTGTTAAAATCCTTTTACCTTCATGAGAATAAAAATAATTATCTAACCCTAAAACATGTAATGAATATAGGTAAATGGACTAATGATATTTTTGGAAATTCTATATGCCATAAACATTATTGTATATTTCTTTTTAATAGGACATAGACACATGTTTTCAGTCAAATGAAGATAATCCTGACACAGCAGAAGAAAGTGCAGGACATTTTTTAAGAGCACCTGAAACACCTAAATTTGTAGGAACACCTGACTCAAAGGGGAAGAAAACCCAGTTCTCTAAAACGCCTCCATTTGATTTGTATGATTTCATCTTTTATTTCGATTTTGAGCAAAGTTGTATTGATGTTTATTGTATAAGCGTTTCTGGTGTTTCTGAAAGATACTATATTCAAATTTTCTTTTGAGTTATGCTAGGTAATTTATTAGATTTTCTTTTTACAGTATCATTTCCACTTGAAGTTGTTTTGAAAGAGGGAGACTCTGCTTAGAAATATGAGACACGGGTTCTTTGTAGCTCCTTTGCTAAAATTGTCTTTTCTGCAGTTGTATTTGTTACACTAATTTCTATCTTTAAACAGTTTTTTTGGTAAAAGGGAAGGGAATTGCGAAGAATACCACCTCCCTTTGCTTTAAGGAGTCGTGTTACGCATTCTGTGTAAGAAGAAACATTTATTGATGGAAGCTATGGGAATCTAAAAAAGTCACAAAACGGGGGGGAAGCCATCTAGGCTAATTTTAAAAACTATTAACGTAGTTTCTTCCTCTCTGTCTCAACAGCATTCACAATTTAGGTTGTGAAGAAGGAACATCAAAATCTCCTGCTTTCTTTTCTCTCATGAACTTACCCCAGAAGTCACCTGGCTTTAATTTGTTTGATTCATCTGTGTTTGGGGCAGAAAATTCATCTGATGAGGTAAAAATAACTACTTGAGAATATTAAATTTCCACAAAACAAAATATTCTAAGAAAACAGCATGTATAGTGAATGAGGTTTTTCAGACTGGTTATCTTTGCAGCAAATAATTTTTTTACTAGCTTGCTTAATTTTACACTTGATATCCTTTGAAAATGCTTATCTCCTTTCCTGGCAATTCCCCCTATGATGGCATCTGATCAAGTATGAATCTTTCCCATATGGGCAAGATTGGATCTCATGTAATTCACCTAGTCATCTTTTGTGACTAGATTCACAAAAGGGCTTCTGGTTCAGCACTGCAATGCAAAACTTTAGGTACTTACACTGAGAACAGGAAGAAAACTATCTATTAGGGATACTGAAGAGCAGATATGGATAAACTATACTTTAATGGAGGAGATAGGCAACTAATTGGAACAGAGAGTGGAATCCGGGTCTTCCTTCTCCTTTGCAGGTTCCCTAACTACAGCGCTCTAGAGTAATTTTCACTCTCCTGGGCTAATAGGTAGATAATTGGATATTCAGGATAGACGTGTCAGTGCATAGTGTAGTGGTTAGGTATCTCTGCTGGCAATGCAGATTAAAACCTCGTTATGCAAATAGGGGTTTTGAACCCATCTCCAATTTCAGTGTATGTGCTCAGTCTTGAGATTATTGGATAAAAATTGAAGGAAGGAAGAGGAAAAACACGGGATTATTTTGTGTTTGGCAAGATATATGTTGTTGATATCTCCTAGCATCACCTGTGTATAGGAGAGAAGACACTGGTGAGTAGTTTGTGAATTGTTTAGGAATGAGGTAGGTATCAAATCACCTAGTGCTGTCAGAACCCATGTTACTTTGTGCCTGTTCAGCGGCAGAAACAAAGAATTTACAGCCTGTAGCAGTCATTGGGATGCTCTGAAGTTAGATGGGAGTTTTGAAGGACTTAAGTATCATAAATCTAGCCTAGGAATTCTTTTCAAGAATGATGAGTGGTTATTCTGCTATTCTTTCTGGCAATATCAGGTCCTACTCAGTAGGCAGTAATTATGTTGCTTGGACGTTTTCTAAATTGTCAGAGAATGAAATAATTTTGAATCTTTTCAGTTTAGAAAACAGCAGTAAGCCACATTAGATTTTGGTCTGTTCTCAATCTGTTTTTTTTTTTTCCCCGGAAGAATGGAAAGAGTGTGTTTGCAGATGTAAGCAAATATCATGAAACCTATCTCATCAAAGAGTTTACCTTGCAGCTTTGAGGTCTGGTATATACATTTAAAGGCAGATTTTGTGAAGGCTGCTAACATTTACTGGGACTTAATATGTATCAGCATTAAAGCTTATTTTTTATCTTTTGAATTGGTTAAATAAAATGGCTGTTTACATTTCAGACAGAAGAAAGTTATTCTGTGGCAAACTTGAACCCTCTGTCCCCACACAAGGATATTGGTAAGTCAGAAGCTCAGGTGTACTTGTTTATACCAACTGTCCTCTCCTTGTGCTTATGTGACTGACAAGCTCATGATCCTGCTTAACAGGACAACCTTTGGTTGTCTAAAAGATATTCAGTTGTGACACTGTAGTACAGAGGTTTATTGTGTTTATTTGTGTTTTGTCTAGTTTAAGTCTTTCCCTGCATGTTTGGCATCAAATGCATAAGATGTCATGAAAAAAAAAAAAGAAAAAGAAAGAAGAAGGGATAGTGTTAGGTGGGTTTGAAGCAAACTGAGAAGAGATGCAAGGAAGAAGCTTTTTCACTAATAAGAACAGTTGTTTTAATGTAAAAAGCTATAGTACTTGGTAAACATTACTTTTTAACTTAAGGCTACCAGTTTAGTATTAGAAAGAGTACACCCGTTGGGTTTTTTTCCTCCCTCAACTAAAATGAAAATAAGTTTTCATTTGATTAAAAAAATGTCAGTAGTAAACTGACTTCCATCAGATTAAACTATTGGAGGTACACAATGTAAAAACAGCACAGATGAGAGAGGAGAGAATCAGACTTAAATAGTATCTTCCAGTCATACTAAGCAAGCCATGCACACTTACACCCTCTGTGTGAAATCCTGGCTTTACTGAAATGAAGGGCCAATTTTTCATGATATCAGTATGATCAAAACTTGCTCTTGATCAAAACCTTTCATAAGGGAACTATAATCACCACTTTTTTGAGGTGCTGCAAGTGCAAAGTTACTTTTTTTGAAGTGGATATGAGGTTGTATGCATATATAACTCTTGTAGAGAAAAGTGTGTGAATTTTGTGGCACTAAATATAAAACTCAAGTGTTTTTTGTCTGTAGCTTTGTTTCTCCAAGTATTTCAGTGGTTGATTGCATTGCTCTCTGGAGAGGAAAGAATCTGCAAAAATCTATCAGTTTACAAAGACCTCTGTTGCTTAGTATTTAAAATATTTCACCTGGTATATCCTGCAGAAGTGTTTTGTTGTTCTAAATCATTCAAGTACTTCATACTTCATTCTACGTAGATTCCCTCCTGGAAGTACCATTTCTATCTAGTGCAGAAATAAACACAACAGGAAGGCTGACATTCAGTGGGATGTTGAGAGTACAATGTTATTAAAAAAGCATATTATGCTGAATGAAGTATTCTTTCGATAAGGCTTGATCTAATAATTAATATAATATGTATTCCTTATAGGAAGCTTGTTTGGGAAATCAGAAAGTGAGGAAGCATTTGCCTTTCCCTTCCCCCCAGAATCGACTTCTCATGCATTTGGAGATGACTTTAGTTTTCCATTTGCATTTGGACAGGATCAGAGATCATCACAGTCTCCTTCTGTGAAAGGTTTTCATTCTTCCTTACAAAATACAAAGCCATTTACATTCTTTTGAATACCTTTGACTTCCTTTTAAATTATTTTCCTACTTAGCCTTGACAAATGTACTTTCTTAAGTTAAAGTACAAAGCATTTCATCTTCTTTCATTTCATGTAAGAATACATTATTGCAATTGCTGCAATAGCATGTGTATGTTCATCAGGCACATATGCTTTGAGATGCAGCTTTTATTTTTCTTATTTGTGTTCTAAATATGTTGTTTTCAGAAAATGTTATGATATGCTCTTGCTAAATTGGCACTTGCATCAGAAATATCATTTTACAGCAGTGTGAGAATTAATTCAATATCTATGAGAGTATATATACGTCTAGATGAGTACTTTCAACCTCTGATATAAACTAATCTTGTGTTACTAAGTAGCTGTTTATTGTAGTAGTAAAAGCTGTTGAAGATGTTCTTGAATTAGCTGTTATACACAATGTTTATACAATTTTTGAAATAAACATTTTATGTTAATTTCATGTAAAGTTTTGCAGGTATTTGATATCTGAAGTGAAATAATGTTGCAATTATAATACTCAACACTTCAGCTTCTGTCTTTCAAACCTGAAATACTGAAAGCAAGCTCCTTCCTCTTTATCTAGTGTCTTTCAAAAAAAAGGTGCAAAAGCAGACAGTTCCCAGAGTCTAACTGTAGTCAGTCCAAGTATATCCACTAGTTCTCCACAGATGGCTTTCCTTATGGAATGGCTGACTGTGAAGAATATAGCAGGGTTACTCAGCAAGGAATGCTGGCTGTCCTGAGCCACCACAGCACTGTGCCCCCTGAATCCCTTGGAACTATCTTCTCTGGAACCAGCAGTTTCATATTTATGGCCTTCGAAGGAAATACCTGATCACTTCCAAGTTATTTTTTCCAGTTACATGTGAAACACAGGTTCCTAATTTTTTAAACTCCTCATGAATTTCTAAGGGAAATTAGGTTTCTCAGTCACTCACTATGAAGTAGACAACCTGCCTGACAGCAGGCTAGCAAAATGCTGAAATGGAAACAAAGTAAATAAAGGGGAGACTGCATCATTCAGCAAACTTCACAGGAGACATTGCAAATGCACAAACGAGTCAGGTGGACACATGGACTGAGTGGAACAAGTTGACAAAAGGCATCCTACCAGTATAGTCTGCACAGTCTGCCAATAAAATGTCAACAGAGTACACAGGGAAGTAGAGTCCCTTTTCCTCTGCTGACCTGCAAAGCCCTAAATGACCAAAAGCTTGGTTAGCTATCCTACTTCTTTTCTGTCAAATTCCTACATGCTTTAGGACTATTTTTGTGTAGCCCAGCTTTTCCTTAAGTACTTGTGCCTAGAGATTGGTGCCAGTTGGTTATTTTTGTCCTGGAAAGGAATTCAGGAAATTTTAGTGAATTGCTACTGAGATCCAGCTAATTAGAAGTGAGACATATGGATTTGGTGGGCTTTATGCTCTCCAAATGGGTGTTTCCATGTTACTTTATTTTAAGCAAATTTTCTAATTTACTGCATACCTTGCAATCTGAAAAACATAAGCTAGAGGCAAGTTTGAGACCCTCTCTATGTTATTTGTGTTTTAGAGTATGCTACTGGAAGATATTCTGAGATAATTTACAGAGCACAATTTTATTTGCTCAGTTATTCCATAACTGAAGCTTGCTCTCTTGACTTCTGGTGAATTCAGTCATCTGTGTCTCAGACATTAGTCTGGTAGTCAAGGCAGCTGGCTGAAGTGGGAGAAACCATAGTCCTAGGTCTTGCTGGATGTTTACTTACACAGATTGAATAGGCTCATTAATAACATAAGAGAGAAAGCTCCTTCAGAAAAGGCAACTACTCACCATTTGAGATACTTTTCTGAGATCTAAGAGGATAAACTGCTTATAAACTTGCACTGAGGTATTTCATTAGTATCTGTCAAATTCTGTCTAACAATAATCTGTTGTTATTATGCCTATAAAATCAACAGCAGTCATATTGCTGGGTTGCTGAGACTAGTATGCTTTTCACTGACCAATGTAATTTCATTTTTTCCTTTACATACACACCTGGCTATATCCACCTCTGGTTTGAAAGTGTAGGCAGAGATACTCTTGTCAATGTAGTGCGGGCTGCTTGAGACCAAAGTGCTGTTTGTTCATTACCACTTGTTATTTGCATTTTATTGCCCCAGTGGTGCAGATGCAGTAAATGCAGTGTGCATTTGTTCCTCATTCCTCAGTGTGAAGTCAGTAAGTTTAATTTATATTGCTGTTGAAAGTGTGGAAAGCTAACTTTGCTGACTACTTCAGTAGATAAGGAAGAGGTATTACACTCATGACTACCACTTCTAGAGACCAGTAACCTCCAGTAGCAGGATAGCAATGGCAGCTGGGAGCTGTAATCTCTTAAAAGCACTGAAGCTGTCTGCAAAGTGGTAATATGGTTATACTATGTACTGCTCTGAATCCTTGGAGGTTGGGGTTGCCCTTTTGTGCTGTCCTTGTATTGCACCTAGTAAAATAGAGTTCAGGTTCACAACCAAGCCCAAAGGTAATAACAATAAAAAACCCCTCTTTTAAATAAGCAGAGCAGGGATTTAACTTTGAATGTTATATGAATATCCTAACCAGAAGGCAGATGTTTATTTAGGACCCGATTATCTTTACTATTCCATTTAAGTTTTTAATGACATTTCTGACAGAAAACTATTTAGCTTGAAAATTCCTTGTACTTTGTATGCCAGTGTAACACCCAGCATTAGGTCAGTGCTGGTTAAATACTTTAGGTCACCAGAACGGTAGGAAATATCGTGGTATTTGACTGAATCAATTTTTGAATTTGTTGAGTAAAATTTTTGAAGAGTGGAGAATGAAATTTACATTCTCATCTGTTGCTGCTAGAAGGAAGACACTGATGCCTCAGGTTTCTTTCTCCTACAGAAAAAATACCTGTATGGAGATGTCATTTTTCTGATCAGAAATAACAGGAGGAGCATTTATCCACATTCACTGTGTTGTGAAAAGTGGACTTCTAGTAAAAAGATTTTGTTATAATTTGTAAGGTGATATAACAATTTAACTGAAGCCCCATCTACTATTTTACTGTTAATTTTACTGATGCATAAATGTTAAGCATGCTTATAAACAGTCTGGGATATCTGGCTAACAAATGAGCAACAGCTGGACAGGTTTGATGCTAAAAAGTTAATTTAAAAACTAAGAGGTAAAGGCTAATGGAATGACTTCCAGAAGTTGTGGGATATAGCATTTGTTTTTAATGTAATGCTGTTCTATGTCTTCACACACCACCTTTGATAGAAAATTAGTCACCAAACTGTTCCCACTCAAAAATCAGGTTTCCAGTTGAGTGACTTATTAATTTTCTGTAACTTCAGTCTAAGTCTATCAATATAAAGCAAGTATACACAGCATAAGATACTTTAATTGTGCTGTTATATGTAATGCTTAAGGTGATAAAAACGCAAGAGTTCCTTAATTTTATATCAAAAAAACTGTTCAGTGTCCAAGCATGACTACAGCATGTAATATTGTTAAAACTGGTTCTTTACAATATTAAATTTTCAATGATAACATTGTGTGAATACATTGAGAGAAAAAAAAAATGTATATACCATCACACAGTAGACTGACCTCATATAATTGGTTATTCATTTTATGTGTAATATAGCAAGAGCAACCAAAATTCTGGATTGGAAAAATTGCAGTGATACAAGTGGCACAAAACTGAATTATAACCCACAGTGTTGATTAGGAACACTAAGTGTAAGTAGTGGATCTATTTCTAGCTACCTGTTAAGATTAATAGTAGGGTGCAATAGATATCACCTGGATCCTTAAACATCAAATAATTATTTAAAACCCTGGTTTGAGTTGCAATAGTTTAGAGTCTGGGTTGCAGTCTTTCCCCACAATTCAAGAAAACTGCTGCACTGAATCTCATTGAAATTCTGTACATGGTTGCGTGCCCAGTTCGGGTCTTATACAAAGAAAAAAAATTCTGTTTCATTTTTCACTTCAAGACTATGAACATAATTGAAACTTAATGTTGGAAGTAAAGGGGCATCACTGCATATATGTGAGTAAATGCAAACTTTGGGGGCAGGGGTAGAAGAATCATTGCACCGTAAGAAAACAATCTTACACTACAGCATTAATACGCTTAAGCATTTCAAGGAAATAAGCTTTAAGTGCTACTTATTGTAACAGATTGGAATGTGTAGACTTACAGTATTAGATGGTAGTAATCTCCCCAGTGCAAGGCTGATTGCACGGGTAGCAAGAGTTGGCTAATCCTTTTCGGCCAATGGCATAAAACAAGGATTAGTTTTTCATTTACTGCAACTGTGTGGGTCATTAGGAGCCAAAGACACTAATGAGCCTGAACAGGCAATTGGATTCTGGTTTCAAAGTTACGGGCTAGTTTAAAAGGAGATGATTGTGTCTTTTAATGATTTAAAACGTGATGTTTGAGTGACTTTCTTCCTGAAACGAATGAAAGATACAACGGTGGAACAGAAACGTGGAATGTTGACTTTTTCCCTTGGAACTTGAGTTGTTGCCAGATTCATTGCCTTAGAGGTTGAATGGGTCATTTAGAAATATCTCTGTTGCCTTGCTTTTATGTTCTACTCTTGATGTCTCCAGAGTTGACACAAGTCACATGCAATCAAGTCTATGTTCCTGGTGGACAGGCACTGTCCTAATATTCTCTGACTCACACTCAGGTTGTTTGCAGCTCAGCTGCTCTGCTTCCAGACACATCACTTTGTGTTCTGATGCTAACGTCTTGCTGAGAAATTGCCTCTTGGCACGTTGTTTCTTGAATCCCGTACCTTGCTTGATTTGATGTGAAGATGATGCTCTTTTTAGCACTTGCAACACGTTACCTTTGGAAAGGTAAATTTTTCCCCTCACCTTGCTACATCCCAGTTTTACTTCTTTTCAGTAATCACTTAAATTCAGCAATAAAATGTAGCTTGTATTCGATTTCAGTCAAATCAAAAGTTGTTGACAAAAGGG